CGCCATTGCTTCTGTGGTTAACGTCACGTTGTAATCCAACTGCAGTTGAGTTGGACGGCAATTGTAGTTCAAGATGAGCGTTCGATGACGTATACTTTCAAACTCGGAAATGGACCAATCAGAGGTAAGCGCTGATTTCCAGCTGACGGCGTCCTGTCCTAAGAAACCAGGCGTTTAGTGGTACCAAATAACAAATATGATGATTGGTAGCAGCTACTTTTCAGTAAGAGAGCATTCTAGATGTTTCATAGTATCAGGAACTTTGTTTGGGTTTTGGTGTAGTGAAATCAAATAAACCAAGTAAAGTAGAACCTAGCTGAAGTAGAACCAGGTAAATATGCAGCGGAACCTAGTAAAGTAGTTACTACTATTTTTGGAGCTCAGATACACAACAATCTCTAAGTGTAGTGGTTCTGAATTTTATGTAATGCAATGCGCATGGATGGTTGGGTGGTTAGGGAGCGTGATGTGGAGTTTGGGCGATTAGTGTTACCATATGCCCTCTGGTCTAAATGGTGGTTGTGTAGAGCTCACATACGCTAGCGTTGTTTTCGGATGATCTTTGAGATTGAATTCCAGATCATTGCCATAAGCTCTTTTTCTTTAGTATAGCTCTGGCAGTAAAAGAAATTAGTTAGAATATAAAATAATTATGTAATTTGATATAAAAATAAGTGAATAATATATATACATAAGAGTAATTAGACTGTAAAAAAAATATAGATGAATAGTTTTAAGTTTGAAGTCAAAAAAAAAATACTTAAGACTTGATGATTTGGGATTTATTTAAATTACTAATACACTAAAATTAGTGAAAACACACATTTTCTGAAGGGTGGACATAAAGAAAATCCTTTTAATCGAAAGAAAATGAATATTTATTTTTATTATTGCAGTTGAACAGCCGACCCAATTGAGGGTTTACTACTACTTAAGTTCAACTCCGTAGCCTGGTAATTTTGAGACCATTCCAGAAGACAAGGGAAGTCCTGGATCAAGAATTGGAAGAAATTTTGCCTTCATGGAGGCCTTTTTGATGGAACTAACTCGCATTTGTGGATTAGTTCCATCAACATGGAGAGGAAAATATTACATGGAGAGGAAAACCACTAAAACATCCCACGGCTAGCCTGACGTCAAAGGGAATCTAACCCTTGATCTGTCTACCACTGCAAATACTTTATGTGAGCATTGTGATCGCTGCAAGCCGGATGCGGAATTCGTCGCTGGGATTCGAACCCAATTAACCTCATTGGAAGGCGAACGCTCTATCCTCTGAGTTATCACGGCTCAAAAATAGGTTTTTGTTATGATTTAAATTCTTAATATAAGCTTATGAACACAATTCAAGTTAGCTATCTCAAAAGTTATGCATTTGCAGCAAAAAAAGAGGTTATGTCTTATTACCCAACCCTCACGCAGAGGCCTGAATAAGAATAAAAGCTGGCCATAATTGTTGAGAAATATTATAAATTTTTATTTTATTTTTCATGATCATAATTACTTTTAGATGTCCATAGAAGAATGTTATCTCAAAGAAAACATTTTATGATGTTTTTTTCTCCTTCGAAAATAACAGGCTGAAATTATACTTTTATACCATCCCAATTAAAGAGGAAAACAAACGTTAACTTTTCAGAAATGTAAGCAAAAACATAAAATAGAAATAAATAATGGCTTTTGAGAATTTTTTTAACCTGACTTAAATATAGTGTTTAAAAATTCAAATATGTAAGTATAATAAATAAAAATTGTGTAATACTTGCTCATATAAAGCTTTAAAAACATGTATTTCAATTTCTTAGAAATATTGTTGGAGTCAAAAATGTAGAGTGCACGTGACAGTTTTAAGATAACATTTTTTTGTAGAAGAGTGCTTTTATAATAAAAAAAAAATCACTTCTCCTATTTGCTCCAAAAAACGTTAAAAACTAAAATGCAAAAATATTCTGCGTGCGTTCGATAAGAAAATTTTATTTGTGTTGGAAAACTACCAATTAACCTTTCAGATTACAATTAACCTTTCAGATATTGAACAGTTGTCTGAATCGGAAAACAGTCGACCAAATGTAAAAAACAGCTAATTAAAATGCTCCTAGAACAATATAATTACAAAGAAAAAAAATTCGCATTGTTTTTTTCCTAAGAAATAAGTTGCGTTTGGAATTGTTTTTAATATTGGGATTTTTATTTATAAATTTCGAAACAATCCTTAACTTTTTAGGAAATATTTTTACTGCACAGTTCATTTCTGACAACAAAATATTTTTTACCTTTTTAAAATATTGTATTTTACGAATAAAAATACGTAGGTAGAATTCATAATATTTACATTTTACTAGCTCATATTCAATTTCGGATTTTTTAAAAACTTCATTTAAGTAAAAAAAATGTTTGGTCATCTTTGACAGTTATAAAATTGCATTATTCTAGTAAAGAAATGTATATACATCGCAAAAAGAATTAACAATTTTATCAGAACTTTTACCGCAAAATTAATTTAACAGAATTAATTTTGCGGTAAAAAATATCAAAAACAAAAAATTAAAAAATGTATTTCGTGTGTTTGGCTCTGATTTTTCAGTTCCGTCAGTAGACGTTTTACGTATTCAAAAAAAGAGGAGTATAGTAAGAGGATGATCTAATTGATTTAAATTCAAAAAAAGCAATAACAGTTTTGAAAGCTAATCTGGAAGAAAAAGAGTTTTTTTATTGCAATCTTTTCCAGCGAAGCATAAAGAAGGCTTTAATAGTTCTGTAAAGAACAATGTACAGTGCGCATAAAAGTAAATGGAGCACCCTTAATAACTTTGGATCTAATGATCGTATTTCCACGTTCACTCAATCTTGATGGTTCGAAAATGTAACTTCAAATAAGCTAATTAATTCGCTCGAACGAAGTTGAAATTTACGAAATCAGACACAAAAATGTACTTTCTCTGACTAAACATAACTTTTTTTTCAAACGATTTGGATTTCTGACCTTTAAAATATAGGGGGTACATATGATGTAAAAATAATATAGGGGGTAGCCACTATCAGGGGAATATGGTCACTATAGTTTTATCAGGAGAGCTATCGTAAGTTTGAACCCCTTAATATTAATTTTACTTAATGCATATTTCACCATATCTTAAGAACTTTTAAGCGAGTTGAAAAAAAAAAATTCTGCACACAATTTAAAATCGGTTATCCAAAAATATTTTCTTGCAAAATAATTATAGTAAATATTTTCTTATTTATTTAACAATGGTTGAATAGTCGTAAGGTAAACAATTGCTTGCATCATTTTAAAGAATGCAATTTTAAATGTCAAAATACAAAATTTGTGCGAAATTAGTCAATAGTTTCGGAGAAATTGAAATTTAAAAATACGACTTTTTTAAAATTTGATTTATCAGAAACTATTCAACTGATTTTGTATTTTGTCATTTAAATTTGCATTCGTTAAAATTATGTTAAAAATTGTATACCTTACAATTTAAAATTCTGTAAATTATTATTAAGTAAAGAATATTAAATATTTACTAAAAATTGTATTTTACAGGGAATTAATTTAGATTACCGAGTTTTACAATTGTGTACAAATTTTTTTTAATCCACCTATGAAGTTCTCGAGAAAAGGGTGATTATGCCAAAAGTGAAATTAACATTAAGGGGTTCAAACTTTAGGCCGCTCTCCTGACCGAACTATAGGGACCATAGCTCCCAGATTGCGGCTAAGTTATTTGGGGGTCAAAGGTATGTTTGTGAAGAGAAAGAACGTTTTTGTGTCTGATTTCGTAACCTGAAATATCGTCTGTTCTAATTAATTTGCATATTTGAAGTCACCCTCTCGAACCTTTGAGATTGAGTTCTAGAACGCTTAGATCCGATCATTAGATCAAAAATCATTCAGTGCGGTTCGTTTTTTTTTTTGCGCACTGTACTTCTAATGATGCAACGCTTCAATGTTGTAGTCGTCGGCCATCAATGAAGAGTGGTTGCTATTGTTTTTGCATTCCAGTGGCGCCATCTATGACCAAGAATTCAACTTCTGCCACACCCATACATCACATCCGTTTGTGAGGCGGATCCTTTAGTACATCCATTCATTCATCCACAAATCGTAATTTTGATCTGAACCAAAGAACGATCAATCTCTAATTCAGTACCCCCAGAAGTATAATTTGCTATGGAAAAATGGAGGACTTTATGACCAGGCAGATTTAACGTGCACCAGTCACCATTTACTACACGGGGAGTCTTCGCCCTGCTGGATTCTAGTCCAGCGCCCTGTCAATCTGGCTATCCCGGCCAGAATGATTCAATACATGACTTATTTGAAAGACTAATTCCAGTTTGTAAAACTCGAAAGTTTGTAACCTGTAATCAGATTAAGTCTACCTAATCTAAATAATATATTTTGATTCTTGTTTTTGGTGACAGCAGAAATTCGAGCATATTCACTGTTATTTAAGCTTTCTAAAAAATTAATGCAAATGGAATTAATTTTTCGTAAATATAATACTGAAGTTGTTGAAGAATTGCTTGTTTTCTTAGTGCAGGATAAAAAATAAAATTTTTTTCCGATTTTACTCTCCATATTTTGAGCTATATACAGTATTCTAGCCATTTTCTGTAAATTAATATTAAATTTCCAATCTGAATTGTAAATAAATTTCAAACTTATTCCAGAAAAAAAATTTATTTTCTATAATAATAAAAACGTTTATATTTCCGTTTAAATTTTAATTCAACTGGTAAAAAATTCTGCTTTAAAGGTTAATGCTTTGACTAGAATTAGCGAAATTAACCATACGCGATTCCATTGAATCTAAATATTTCTCTTATCAACCATTATTTCTTTGAGTGTGAATTCAACAAGTCTTTCTCTGGTTATACTTTCTCTATTTGAGGTAGAAAAAGAGGTGAAATTTTAATATTAAAAGGATATGACGTAAGGCCGCGCCTACAAACAGTTCTGCGCATGCGTTTTATCTCTCAGTCTGACGCAATTTCTCTCATCACTTCCGCCAGCATCCGTGATTTAGTTCCAATTCGTAGTAAGGAGCGTGTTTTGAAAACTACTGATTTCTCTGCAGAGATTTGACAGTTCAGTGTGATCTCCGAATCAGTCATGGCTTCCTGATATTATTCGCTACTCCTTCATTAACATGATCTCCTGATTTTTATTTTCATCAGTTAAGCAAAGAGGCTTTTTTATTAGTGGAAAATGAAGAACAATAAATCTGGAAAACAACTAAAAATGACGAACAACAATTCCAAAAACGAACTTGAAGAGTGCATTGAAAATGATGAGGTGAAAATGAAAAAAAGAATTACCCTGACCAACGGGGTGGCAATTATTGTGGGAACAATTATTGGATCGGGGATTTTTATTTCCCCAAAAGGGGTGTATGAACATTCTGGTTCTTTAGGAGTTGCTTTAATAATATGGACTGCTTGTGGTATTTTCTCAATGTTTGGGGCTTTATGTTTTGCCGAATTAGGAACTTGTATAACAAAATCTGGAGGTGATTATGCTTATCTCATGGAGGCTTTTGGTCCAGCTACTGCTTTTTTGTATCTTTGGGTCGGTTTGCTGGTCATTCGCCCAGCAGTACAGGCTGTACTGGCTCTTACATTTGGTTATTACATGTTAGATCCATTCTTTCCAAATTGCAAGCCCCCTGATGAGGCTTTGAGGCTACTGGCTGGTATCTGTTTGTGTAAGTCAATTTTACTTATTTTTTTCCTTTTTTCTCAGAGGCTTAATCAATCTCGTCTCTAAAATTGTTTGGATAAAAACCAAAATTTGTCAGGAACGAATAGTAAAAGATAAAATATGATATATATTTTTCATCAAAACTTCACATTCGAGTTTTTTTTACACATATAACGAAGAGCAATGGAATATATTTTAAACGAATCACTAAAATTCGAAGATATATTTATTGAAATTAACAAATGGAATATTATATAATTTTAACAATCTACTAAAGTGCCGTATATGTTCAGATTATTCTTTTAAGCATTTAATCGTGTTATCTGTAGATTTAATATAATATATCATTCTAACCTTTATTGAGTATTTGCATGTGTTGTGAATAAATTATTTCTAGAAGCAATTTTAATAATTAAACGTGCGTGATAGTTATAGTTTGAAATATACTTATTTTAATTTGATAATGTAACATCGTACATTTCTTTTAAATGTGCAATTAATAGATGAAATATTATTTAAAACATTTTTGTTTACTATCAATGAATTTGAAAAGCGTATGGTGTATTAACCCGAATTTAATAATCATATATTTGGTATTTGTAAATATGTTGCGAATATAATTAGGAGGAAATATTCTATTCAAGCTCCATTCGCATAAGTTTTCAAAAATTCTGACGAAAAATATCTTTATTTGCATAATTAAAAATACTGTTACAATGTGATTTATGAACGAAATGTTTTAAAATATTTATTCGCATGTGCTTATCTATAGTTGTATTTGAAAATATACTGTTTTGAATCTTTTAATACAATATTTCTTTATTTTACAGTTTATATTAAGCATTAGAATTTTCAATTTATAACATTAAATTTTTTTCTGAATATTTTGAACCATTTTTTGAATATTAAATTTCAGTCAATGGAAAAACAGTAATTTTTTAAATTGTGTTTCTCAAATCTGAGTTTGATCACATTAAATGATAAAATAAACTTCAAGATATAGTTTTAATATTAAAAATAAATTTAACATGATTTGAGATATTTTAGAAGGAAAAAGGAAATTTGATAATAATCAATAATATCACTATTAAAATTTTACAACAGGATTTGAAGATGTGTATGCATAACGATAAATTTTAAAATAAAATGTTAAATTAAATCGTAATATTAAATTCGTATTATGTACGATTGTTTTTAAAAAAATATTTGAAATATCTATGAACTAAAACTGAATTTTATTTCTTCATATAATATGATTAAGTGCCAAATAGCAGCGTCAAAGAGAGTAAATTTTAATAGCACCAAAGCCAGAATAGGCTATACTGCAACGAACTTAAGGGATAAGATAAAAATAAGATTTAAGATTAAGTAAATTAAAAATTTTACCATTTAATGTTATTCCAAACTTCTTTATTGCTTGCCATGAAAACTTCTTTGAATGCCTAATTGAATAAAAAATGTCGCACTGAACAAAAAATGCTGATACTCAAAAGTCTGGCAAATATTTTGTCGCAAACCAATAGCTTCGATAGCAAGAGAGCGGGGGGATTGAGCGGGGGCAGAAGAGAGTAGGGGCGAAACTCTCCGGTAATATTTATTTTGCTTTATAAATTAGATGTTTATTGTAACATCAATATGAAAAGTTTGCAATTTAATTGGGTAGTAACAAAAATTTATTTAAAAATTTTTGAACTTTGTGTGTTTGTGGCCAAGCGTCAGTTCTTACGTTTAAAATTTTATGAATCAAAAAATAAAAATTAAAACACAATAACTACGGATAATAGGTACCAATATAACGAAGCTATTTGTGATATTTCATTTATATGTATGTATGGGGCAATTATTTAAGATTAAGTATAGAAATCTATTCTATGAAATACTATTAATAATATAATAGTTAAAACAAAACGTTTAATTTTATAAATTCCACTGAAATATAATGCAATGGATTTTCAGCGATTTATTATTAAGAGGTTAAAAGTGCTCGACTGTTGATATAAGTCAAAATCCATGCTTATAAAACATTGATTTTTCAAGTAAATCATCCATCATTTTCAAGTAAGTATCCATCAAATATCAAACTATTGAAAAGGAGCAAACATACGCTCCATCCAACCATGGCCAAGCACCGTAGCACGCTTTTCAGGGCCCTATTTTTTAACAGTCATGGTAGAAATGCCACATAATTTTGACCCTGAACAGGTGAAGTGGATAGCGCCTGAGCTGGTACTCCTCCTTCTAAACTTTCATTCCGCAACCAACAACAGGACTTTCAGCTTCAACAGATTTAACGCGCTCCTTACTGTGTATAAACGCCGTATATTTTATTTTATTTCACATTTTTCAATCGACGTTAAACAGCCACCGTAATTCTAAGTTTACGACTTTCAATATTCTACTCCGTAGCCTTATAATTTTGAACCTATTCCAGAAGAAAAGGGAACTTCTGAATCAAGCATCAAGACAAACTTGCCTTCATTTTTTTGATGGAACTAACCCGAATTTGCGTTACATGAAGAGGAAAACCACTAAAACCTCCTATGGTTAGTCCGATGGCAAGGGGATTCTGACCCACTGAGAATATTATACGTCTGTACTGAGATCGGTGCGAGTCGGGAGATGAATTCTTATCAATAAGCTAATGTTGGGATTTGAACCTGGGTCACCCCAAGAATGCGAGTGCTCTATTCTCTGAGCCACCTTGACCTAATTTGCTACCCCAGCTCTTCAACCACTGATTCTTAACCAACAGCGTCATCGAAGCATCGTTAAATAAACCAAATAAATGCTATGCTGAAGGTATTTGCTTAATGATAAATGACTTACATGAATTTAATTTCAAATAAAAGCATTCAGCTTAAGCAAAATGTAAAATGAAGTTCATTAGATTGAGAGGATGGGTTTTTGTGAATAATATCGTTTGATATTGTGTAGGAGGAAGGTGATCCATTCTCCAAATAAACGATAACCAAAGTGGTCATCATTTATTTGATCAATCAAATTTCGTTATTAAACGATAACCAAAGTGTGGTTATCGTTTATTGAGCAAATAATTGATTATCGAGAAGTTGACCAAATAAATGATAATGATATCTAAGAACCGCTCCTATATTTCTCAATTCGAACAAAGCTCTATGTACGAAGGGCTAGTTCACTCCTTTGAAGTATCTCTTGCCGCGCCGATCCTCCGACGTCACTCTAGTGACGTCACTTTGGCGCAAAGCTCGCACTTTTACTTCAAGAACGGAGCGTTTGGCCTTACTAGCTCTAACTAATATTGGATCATTTCTTTTTGCGAGATATTCTAAGACATTTGTTATTTTCTATAATGACTTTCCTCAGTTTTTGCAGTGAATTTACAAGAATTTAAAACTATTATCGAAATGCCAGTTTGCGCGATTGCAACTTGCAAAAATTCTGATATAAAAACAAAAGGAAAAAGTATAATTTTTCGCGTGTTCCCTAAAGTAAATGAACAACTATGTAAAGAATGGATTCCGAAATGACACAGTTAATATAAAACAGCAATACGTTTATTCTGTCGTAAAGAACTTTTATAAAAATTCATTATCTAAATAGAAACCGCCTCGTTACTTCATAAAGAAAGGCAGGTGAAAAGAATTAAAAAATAGATAAAGTCAAAGAAAATTAAAATGTAAGTAAAAAGTATAAATAAAATATATAGTATATAGTTGAAATTCTCCTAATTTCATAACATATTTTTTAATGTAGTTATTCTAAATATTTATGATTTTTTTTAAAAATTATATTCTCTTCAATTTAAATATCTATATATTATATCATCGTAAATTTAAATGTCTATAAACAATTGTAAAATTTCTGATGTCATTATGAACCTAAATTATTATTTTGTTTCAGTAATTAGCGTTTAAGGTTGATGTTTCCTAATGATTAAGTATGAACAAATTGCTATTAACGACATATTTTAAAATCAGGGATTCTAAATTTAACTTAACTTATCTTTATAAAAGAATATGTAGATAAAAAAAGTGTCGATATATGCCTTCATTTTTCTTAATAGTTAAAGTTAAAACTGAACTTTTTAAAATAAAGTATTTATCGTGTCATTTTCACCAACTAGCAAAACATTTTTATAAGTTTAAAATGGTATTTTTTTAATATAATAACCAAGAAAGTTTTTTTTGAACTATGTTTATGAACGGAAATAATGTGTTAATTACGTAAAGTTTGAAGGCTAATAACCAGAAAAAGTCTAACTTATTTTCACAAGAGAAAGATGCAAAGTTATCATATCTTTGCTTACGATCTCCGAGATCTGTAGACACAGTGACGTCATGAGGAGGGAAATCGTAGCTTCAGCTCTAAGAGCGGAGTGAACTAGCCCTTGTATTCTCTTTAGCCCTGCTATGTACGACCTGTTGGCTTTCCTGCGGAACTTATAGCGTGGAAGCAAAGGGGAGAACGGAAGAAAAGTGTTCTTACTTGTTTACTTCTTGGCTTGATAAACATTCTTATATTTTGTAGCACGTTTTGAGTTGTCTTTCACTTGAGGCGTAAATATTTTTCTTTTTTTACAATATGAGTTAAAAGTTTACCGCTTCCTTATCAAATGAAAGGCTTCATATGAAACAATAACAAACCATAAATTTCTATTTTAGTGTGGAAGTTCGTTTTAGCAGAAATGAGTTAGCAGGAATGGGGAAAAAATGGGTTCGTTGGTTTGGATCAACCTTATTTAAATCGGGATTTATTTTTTAAAAAAAATCATCAAATGGAATCTACTGATTTTTTAAAGAAATAGTATTTTTAAGCACCATTTTTATATGAGACAGTTTAATTATTCTTATGTTTTTTGAAGTCTTAAAATTTATTGTGAGTGTAAGTTTCATTTAGCAAAATTACACAAGTGCTTAGTGTGAAATAAATTACCGCACTTTTGAATTGACATTTTTAAAATCTTATAATTTTTATTACATTTTTTATAGAAACTAAGGACAAAGTGAAAGATTAATGCAATTATTT